AAACAAGTTGACAAACTGGAGAGAGTCTACATGAGAACAACAAAAATAGTAAAAAGTTTAGATAACTTGACCTATTAGAAAAATGTTAAACTCAGATTTTATTAGTCTTAAGAAAAGAAGACTGAGGGAAAACCTGAAATAGTCTTCAAATATGTTGTAGATCATATAGAGCATGTGTAGAGCAAGGTGATCAATAATTCTTCGGGGATGTCCCCATGGGTGCTCTATTGTGGGGTGCTGGGCTTGCCTCGGCGCCGCAGATGGAAGCTTGTGAGAAGCAGTATTCAGCCAGACCGCGCATGTGCCGCGGGCTCTCGGCTTTCACGCTCTTTTCCCTAGTATGCGGTCCGGCCTCCCGCCAGTTCCTCTAGACCGCCTCAGACTGCAGACGCTTGGAACTGCGCTCCTCACCTCACTTGCTGAACTTGACTTCTTCTAGTTTCCCCTTGTATATATATACCTTCCCTATATTTCCCTTTTGTTTCTCCTTGTTTCTTAAAAAAAAAAATTAATAATAATAGCCAAACGAAAGGAAGAGTAGACACTGACAGTACTGTTCTTACCTTCCACCTCTCAGCTGTTCTCCCGTCCCTCTCCTTGTACATAGTTGCGTCTCCTTAACAAACCAGACAAATTAACAGAATAATAGCACAAATACATATATAAGAACATCAGCAACCAGATAAGTAGACGTCTTTCTGCGGCCATAAGAACTGCCTCAGGGACCAGCAACATGTCGGCAGCTACCGGCTTCCAAAAATGTGGCTCTTGCCAGGAGGCAATGCCGGCCTCCGATGGTCACTTGGAATCCGTTTTCTGGGGGACTCTCATGTCCCCCAGAAATGTACCCACTGCAGCAAACTCTCTTCCAGGGCTAGAAAGGACAGGGAGAGGCGCCTCCGAATGCTCCTTTTTGATAAAGCCCCGCAGCCACAACACACTGATGCTGACTAACAGCCCCACAAGCGACGGGCTTCCTCCCTGACTGCGGGGCTTCAAAAAAAGCCTAGACTCTCCCCTACTAGATCCCTGCCGACTGCCTTACATGGCAGGGAGAGTCAGGTGGAAAGACTGGGGACATCTGGCACCGCAAAGCTGCGTCCCTTACCTCAACGGTACAAAAGCCAAAGCGGCAACGGGAGCCTTCTCAAACGCCGGCACCCCAGGCAGAGCTGTCTCAGCCTCTCTCTCTGCCGCCTGCACAGAGTGCTGAGCCATCGGTGAGAGCTCCCTCGGAGCCAAGCATTACGGCACTGGCACCTGCACCGCTGTCAAACCACTGCGCAGTGCCAGAGTACACGGTGCCGACCCGGTCTACCACGGGCATGGCACTGATCACTGCTGTCTCCGAGCCGCCGGCACCGAGCAGCACAGCGCTAGCTAGCGCTTCAGCGCACGCCGCAAGAGCAGGAGCTCTGAGCCCTGTTCCCTTGATCTCTCCGCACCGGAGCTGCTCTTGCTCCCGTCTCTTCTCCCTCTATACCGGATGGCATAGGTCTCCCCATGCTTCTTCCAGACTGCCTTCCCCATTTTTGGCTGCTGGACCCTCTCATCAGAGACGTCGCTACAGAGAGTTCTCCTGCTTCTTCCAGGGCATCAGACATCCGCTCCTGTTCACCTTACTCTCCACACCATTATCGATATCGTGATTGTTCTCACTATCATGACAGATGCTCACCGTGACATAGCACATACCACTGCAGCGACCGCTATTCCTGAGATTCCCGCAGCGGGTACTCCTACCGATCATGATCCACCTACGACTATGTCCCACGCAGGCACTCTCCAACTCCGACTCCCCTTACACCTCCGCATCATTCAGCGTCACCATCTCATCCTCCATTAGAATTGGAGCATACCCTCTTCATGTCCCAGCTACCGGGGACCTCTATACCAGACTCATCCCTGCCAGACGACGCAGTCATGCCAGGCGAGGGTTCTCCACCAGATGACCTCCGTCAATTCCAGGAGTTGTTTAAACGAGTAGTGATCACACAGGAGATACCGTTGCAGGAGCTCAAGGACAAGCAACACAAGCTTTTCAGAAACCTCCAGCCACAGTATGGGTCGTGCCTGGCCATTCCCCTCGATGAGGGCATCCTGGAAATCACCGATGAATTATGGCGTGCTGCAGCATCGGCTCTTCCAACTAACAAATGGGCGGACAGGAAATACTTGGTGCCCCCAAAGGACATGGAATTCCACTTTGCCCATCCGCAACCTAATTCCTTAGTCGTTGACGCACCCCAACAGAGAGCTAGAGCCCCACACCTCAAACAACGGGGCCCCGACAAGGACATAAAGAAATTGGATCTTCTGGGCAGAAAGGTCTACACATCAGCAACGCTGCTCCTTAGATTCGCCAATTACTTGGTGCATCTATCCAACCATACCTTTGACACCTTTTCCCGTCTCACCCCCCTCATGGATTATCTTCCAGATTCAAAGAAATCTACCCTGAAATCAGTAATCCAAGAGAGCTACACATCAGCAAGAACGTCCCTCAAAATGGCCATGGACGTCGCTGACACTGCTGCACATTCTACCGCCACCGCCATCGTTATGCGGAGAGCCTTTTATCTTCAAGAGGCGGGAGTTCCAAAGGAGCTCCAGGCCAGAGTCGAGGACTTACCCTTCGACAAAGACAAGCTTTTTGCTGAGAACACGAACACAATCTTACACTCCTCTAAAGACTCCCGAACAACCCTCCGAACACTGGGGATGTACACACCCCCCTTCAGGAGGCGCCAGTATTCCCCATACCAACGCAGATACGACTACTCCTACGTTAGACATCAATGGCAGCAGCAACACCAGCAGCAGAGGTCGTTTGACAACCAACGCTCGCGCCAGAGACCCCAGTGATGCTGAAACCCAAATGGCAGGACGAACATGCCTCCCAACAACAAGCAACAGGTTTGATGCCTTGGTTGGGGGCGAGCAGACAGTCATAGGCAGCACCATGAATCGTTCGACTCAACTCTTTCAACACCGGTTGAGGCCCTTTTTCCACCAATGGGTCAAAATCACTACGGACAGATGGGTCCTCGAAATTGTCCAAACTGGCTACCCTATTCCCTTCACATCCATTCCACCCACCACCCTTCCCACACAGTCCCTTTTCAGGGACCCCTCTCACGAAGCCCTCCTCCGAGCAAAAGTTGACCGCCTTCTTTCTCTGGGTGCCATAGAGTCAGTCCCAAACGATTTCAGAAACAGGGGCTTCTACTCACATTACTTCCTTACCCAGAAAAGGTCCGGAGGTTGGCGTCCCATCCTAGACCTCCACTGTTTAAATAAATACCTCAGGAAACAACGATTCAAAATGACCACCTTAGCTGCCATAATCCCTATGTTAGATCCACAAGACTGGTTTGCCGCCCTCGACCTCCAGGACGCCTATTTTCACATCCCGATCCATCCAGCTCACAGGAGATTCTTACGCTTTGTTGTGGCAATGGACCACTTCTAATACAAGGTCCTTCCCTTCGGGCTATCGTCAGCCCCCAGGGTATTTTCAAAGGTCCTATCGGTAGTCATGGCCTTCCTCTGACGACAAGGAGTACACCCACCACCCTTCCCACACAGTCCCTTTTCAGGGACCCCTCTCACGAAGCCCTCCTCCGAGCAAAAGTTGACCGCCTTCTTTCTCTGGGTGCCATAGAGTCAGTCCCAAACGATTTCAGAAACAGGGGCTTCTACTCACATTACTTCCTTACCCAGAAAAGGTCCGGAGGTTGGCGTCCCATCCTAGACCTCCACTGTTTAAATAAATACCTCAGGAAACAACGATTCAAAATGACCACCTTAGCTGCCATAATCCCTACGTTAGATCCACAAGACTGGTTTGCCGCCCTCGACCTCCAGGACACCTATTTCCATGTCCTGATCCATCCAGCTCACAGGAGGTTCTTGCGCTTTGTCGTGGCAAAGGACCACTTCCAATACAAGGTCCTTCCCTTTGGGCTGTTGTCAGCCCCCAGGGTATTTTCAAAGGTCCTATCGGTAGTCACGGCCTTCCTCCGACAACAAGGAGTACTCATTTTCCGATACCTGGATGATTGCCTACTCAAGGGTCCTTCTGCACTCGAGGTTTCTCAGATGGTTCAGCTCACCAGGCAAGCCTTTTAATCCCTCCTCAATGAGCAAAAGTCCATTTTGCACCCCACACAGAACATCGAGTTCATAGGGGCCCGCCTGGACTCACTTGCCGGCAGAGCTTTCCTGCCCTTACAAAGGTTTCAGGCTATCCAGGACCTCATTCACACCATCACCGTCAGCCCCACTGTCTCGCTTATGACATGCCTGAGACTGATGGGCCATATGGCTGCCACAATATACGTGGTCAAACACGTCAGGCTACACCTGCGTGCCCTTCAGTACTGGCTGACACTCGTATACGACCACACCAGATACAACCTCCACAGACCGGTAACACCTCCACCCGCCGTTATCCGATCACTCCTGTGGTGGACCAGCCCCAAGAATTTCCTATCAGGGGTACATTTTCATCAACAAGAACCCCTCCACCAGATCACAACAGATGCCTCTCTATTGGGCTGGGGAGCTCACATGGGCCTCCTCTCAGTGCAGGGCCAATGGTCCCCACAAGAAGCTCGTCCTTTTACAACTACATGCCATTTTCAACGCATGCAAGTCCTTCCTCATCCACATTCAAAATACCACAGTGAGGATACTCACGGACAACATCACGGCCATGTATTATGTGAATCGCCAGGGCGGCGCTCGCTCCCGTTCCCTATGCACAGAAGCTATCCACTTCTGGTACTCCACCATCTGTCCGCATGGGCACCGATCCACCTGCCGTCCCTCCCAAATCTCCTGACCCAGTACCGAGGGCGCCTGAAACACGCCCAGATACACACCCTCAACCTGACAGCATGGTTCCTAACTGGTTGACCCCATTCGAATCCCTCTGTTTGGCCCCAGTTCAACACGTCCTTATACACAGTAGACGACGAGCCACGAAGAAAACTTACCTTCATAAGTGGCACAGATTCTCCTCCTGGTGTACAACGAACCACCAAGATCCGGCATGTCCATCGATCCCCTCCATACTGGACTATGTGTTGCACCTAAAAGACAAAGGACTCGCATTAGCTTCCATCAGAGTACACTTGGCAGCGATTTCAGCCTTTACACCATCAGTAGACGGCATTTCCATCTTCGCCTATCCTACTACTAAGAGATTTCTCAAGGGCCTCACCAACATGGCCCCGCCGCATGACCCAGCCCCACCTGTGTGGAACCTGGATATAGTCCTTGATGCACTAATGAGGCCACCATTCAAGGCTCTGGCGACCGTACCCTTGCATATCCTCACTATGAAAACAATTTTCTTACTTGCCATAACATTGGCACGTAGAGTGGGCGAGCTTTCCGTTATGATGGCTACACCACCATATACAATTTTCCGAAATGATGGGGTAGTGCTGAGACTATGCCCAAAATTCATACCCAAAATCATCTCCCACTTTCATGTCAATGAACCAGTAATCCTACCAACTTTTTTCCCGAAGCCCCATACCCACTAAACCTTTTAGACGTACCGACCATTTATTTGTCGCCCTGGCACATAGGACCAAGGGTCAACGCTGATCTTCCCAGAGGATTTTGAATCTTATAACCCCATGCATAACGCAATCCTATGCAGCAAAACGCTTACCCCTCCCCGCCCAACCACGTGCCCACTCCACCAGGGCCAGGGCGTCCTCAACTGCATTCCTTAAGGGAGTATCCCTTAGGGATATTTGCAGGACGGTGACCTGGTCGTCACATGAGACCTTTGCCAAACAGTACTCTATGTCTCTAGGAATTCACTCAGATGGGGCGGTGGCGACTGCAGCGCTCTCCACAGTGGATAAAAAGGCTCCTCTGGCCCTCCTTCCGTTCTGGCGACCACTGCTACACAGTCACCCATAGTGGAGCACCCATGGGGACATCCCCGAAGAAGAAAACAAAGTTACTCACTTTCGGTGCAGTAATTGATGTTCTTTGAGGTAGTGTCCCCGTGGATGCTCTATTACCCGCCCTCCTCCGCGCTTCGGAGTCCTCTTGTTCTCTTGTGTCTTAGGGTATGTCTACACTACCTCCCTAGCTCGAACTAGGGGGGTAATGTAGTCATTCGCACTTGCAAATGAAGCCTGGGATTTGAATTTCCCGGGCTTCATTTGCATGATGCCGGCCGGTGCCATTTTTAAATGCCGGCTAGTTTGGACCCCGTGCCGCGCGGCTACACGCGGCACAGACTACCTAGTTCAGATTAGGCTTCCTATTCTGAACTAGCTGTACGCCTTGTGGAATGAGGTGTACAGCTAGTTCGGAATAGGAAGCCTAATCCAAACTAGCTAGTCCATGCCGCGTGTAGCCGCGCGGCACGGGGTCCAAACTAGCCGGCATTTAAAAATGGCACCGGCCGGCATCATGCAAATGAAGCCCTACCCCCCTAGTTCGAACTAGGGGGGTAGTGTAGACATACCCTTACAGACTCCGAGGCAATCTCGAGGAACTAGCGGGAGGCTGGACCACACACTAGAGAAAAGAGCGTGAAAGCTGTGAGCCCGCAGCACATGCGCGGTCCAGCCGAACACTGCTTCTCACAAGCTTCCGTCTGCAGCTCTGGGGCAAGCCCAGCACCCCATAATGGAGCACCCGTGGGGACACCACCTCGAAGAATGACAGTTACTGCACGGAAGGTGAGTAACTTCGTTTTCTCCATGTTCACTGAAATAATCAACTTAATCTACAGCAAGGGAGATTTAGTTTAGATAATAGAAAAATAATATATTTTCTTCTTTTTTTTAAGTTTCCTTAATTTTTTTGTAATGGCAGAATAAAGAAAAGGATTTCTATAACTAACTGGATATTTTTCCTGATGTACATAAAATTAATATTCAGTTTTTTGAAGATTCTAAATGTATCTGAAGACCTGTACCAGAAAAATAGACATGTTTAATGTCATTTTGATTACCTGTTAGTGCAAACTGCAATATAACGTTTAAAGACAACAGAGGAATGAGTATGTTGTCTACAGTGGTTATAAACATGATAGATAGACAGTATTTCACAGTTTACATTAACAGCAGCTCTTGAGAAATGTAATTATCAAATGAATTATAGAAGTTTTGGTATTCAGATAATTCATTTTATTTTTAATTGGCTTTTTTCAAGATAATTGGGTATGTCCCCATGTGTTTGTAGGAAGGGGGCATTGGGCTAATTGGCTTTGATGCCCTTATTTTCTTTGGAAGTACAAAATGAATTCTGCCATAATTTTATTTAACATTTGTTTTATGATGTATTTCTTCTTTTAAAAATAGTATTTTCAAAGCATAAAGAACAATTAAATCTACTTAATTACCTCTTACTATTACCATTAAATATCTCTGAGATGTCTACCTGCTGTATTGCCCATTATTATCTGAAAACACATTCCTGAAGACTTTAGTCCTAGCTCAAGTAAAGGTCATATTGTATTCTATTCCAGTGTGGTTTGAGCTACAATAGAATAAAAATTGTGAGACTAGTTACATAGCAGAGCTGTTTTCAAATAGACCGTCCTCTAAGGGACATTGAGTGGTTGAAATACATGTTTGGGAGACATGATATTTTGTTAATTTTGTAATCACAGAAGATAACTATGGTAAAATAAAAAAAAAATAGAAAAAAATTAGTAATTGAATGCATTTTGTATTGTTCTTTTCAGTACAGAATTCAAGAGTCAACAATGTTAACATAAAACTGTATTTCAGATATGCAGTTTGTATACATTTCTGTGGAATATAGAATGGATTGGCTTTTCTTTAGTATTATTCTTTATTATGAGAATTTCAGTAGTGCCCAGAGCAGGGGTTCTCAAACTTCATTGCACTGCACTTCCCCTTCTGATAACAAAAGTTACTACACAACCCCAGGTGGGGGAACCAAACCCTGAGCCTGCCTGAGCCTCTCTGGGATGTGGAGGGACAATGCACAAAGCTAAACAGGGGGGCTGTGTCTAGACTGGCAAGTTTTTCCGCAAAATCATCTGCTTTTGCAGAAAAACTTTCCAGCTGTCTACACTGGCCGCTTGAATTTCCGGAAAAGCACTGACGATCTCATGTAAAATCATCAGTGCTTTTCTGGAAAAACTATGCTGCTCCCGTTCGGGCAAAAGTCTTTTTCTGAAAGACTTTCACGTAAAAGGGCCAGTGTAGACAGCATAGTACTGTTTTCCGCAAAAAAGCCCCGGTTGTGAAAAAGGCGATCGGGGTTTTTTTTGCGGAAAACCAAATCTAGATTGGCCACGGACGCTTTTCCGCAAAAAGTGCTTTTGCGGAAAGCATCCTGCCAATCTAGACGCGCTTTTCTGAAAATGCTTTTAACAGAAAACTTTTCCGTTAAAAGCATTTTTGGAAATTCATGCCAGTGTAGACGTAGCCGGGATCTGTAACCCTGAGCTGCACCATCAAAGATTGAAGTCATCCTTCAGCTTCAGCTTTTGGAGGTAGGACTCAGATCTCAGGTAGCAGGGCTTCTCGGGCTTCAGTTTTGATCCCAGGCTGCAGCAAGTCCAATACCAGCCCTCCCAATCCCATTCAACCAGGGTCTTAACCCACTTTAGGATCCTGACCTACAGTTTGAGAACCGCTTGCCTAGAGGCTTCAACCAGGTTGAATCACCCTTGTGCTGGACACTTCAAAGACTTTCTTTCTCCAAAGAGCTAACATTCTCTTTGTAAAAGATGTAAAGAAAAGTAATAATGAAAAGACGAAACAAACAAGAGTAGGGTGAAGTCGATGGGACGGCGGGAGAGGAGAGAAGAATGGAGGACAGAATAACAGCAATTCAACTTTATTTTTAATAGACTAGCTTTATACACAATTTGTAAGTATAGAGGTTTTGTTATGGTTTCTGAATGGAGACTAATGAGCAGATCAGTGGCACATCATCTGCCTAGTCATTATATTTTTGCATTATTCTGTTGAAGCGAATCTAACAAGGGATTTGAAGAATAGGGTAGCAGCTTGCTCTGTCTTTTTGAGGAGGATGAAATGAAAGACAGCATGAAGGTTCTTGTAGGTGATTTGGATCCTAGGGAGCACATGATAATTCAGTGAGATAACAGTAAGTGGGGCAGGGTTAAATCTTAAAGGCCTTTAAGATAAGGAAAATAATCTTATAGTTGAGGTAGCAGAGTAGGGAAGCTAATGGAGTGATTCAAAGTGGGAAAAGATGTTAGCAAAATGATGGGTCAAGAAAACTATCTTAGCAACTGCCTTTTAAATGAACTTGAGTGGAGTAAAGATCACACCAGCAGAGCCCTGCAAATCCATAGATATCTGATTTATATCCATGGATATTCACATTTGTCACTTGCAGGTGTGGATATCTGTGGAGCATTTTTCAGATTGTGGATTGGATGTGGATACAAATTTTGTATCCGTGTATGGGTCTGCTGTATAGACAAATGGAGCAGTTGTTGCCCAGCACTCAGGCTCCAGATCAGCAATTTGAATCACACAGCAGCAGGGTGCAATATGTGAGCCTGCTGGACATTCTCAGACTTGTAGTACCCAACTTGCTTGAATGGAGGAGGTAAACTACAATTCCCAGAAAGATGCATGACTCCATGCTCCTGCACAGAGAGCCAAGCATCATTGTATTTTAAACTAGCAGGCAGCAAAAGCAGATGCTGGGAGGAGGGTAGTTGTTGCTGTTGTCTGTTTCAGCAAGGTCTACACACCTGAGAGCTGCTATGACCATTAGAAGGGTGGCACTGCACATAATGGCCAAGGATTATCCTCTCTGCCTGGAGCATGGAAGAAAATATGGCAGAAGCAGAATGGGCAGCAGGGCAGGAGTTCTCTGAAGAAAACTGAGGGGTCGTTGGCAGTCAGGGGCTTGCCACAGCCCGTGGGGCTGCTAGTAGAGTTCTGCAAATCCATGGCTATCCTAGAGCCTCCAGAACACACCAGCACAAGGCTGATCCCAACCATTGCCTTCTGCCCCAGCCCCCTGCACAACATGCTGCCGGCAGCACTGAGGGCAGGGGTGGGGTCAGGTATGTGTGCATTGCAGTCTGGGCAGTGCTGAT